CAAGATTATCTTCTGTGTCTGTGTTAATTGGTTTCCCTTTTCTTTGTTGAAGAGGGTCTGTGCAATCCTTCTGCCTAGTCCGCCATCTTGCCCCGCCTCTGTGTGTGATAGTTTTAAAGCAGGCAACTCAAATGTACCTTCTTTCTTTTATTACACAGTAACAGCAAAATATCTGCAATAGACCTTAGTCCAGCTTCTTAACATATTTTTTATACATCTGAAATTACCAGCTGCTGTTACTTAAATCTGCTTTTTTTCCTGTGAGGTTTTGTTGTGAACACAGTTAGTGAAGGGAGATGACCTATATGATTGTGCTATTAAGAGCAGACATTGGTTGGGTCTGGTACATTATCAGAGAGGGAATCCTCAATGTCACCTGCTAATTACTACCTTTCTTACATTGTTGTGTGGTAGTAAATGATGGGTGAGCCGAAGGATCCCGTCTGACAATGTGCCAGGCCCAGCCAGTATTCTGTCTTAATAGCCCAATAATAATACAAGTCATGACATCACATAAGGTTGCAAGAAAGAAGGGAATTGCTATTACATACACAGTTCTGCAGCAGTAGTAATAACAATAATCAGTGAGTGCATACATAAATAGATACTCATGCTGAACAGGGGTGGGAAAATGAATGGTTCTACATGCATGAATTTAAGTATAGGTTTAGATAAAGGGACACCCCCCCAAAAAAAAAATGACATCCATATCTGTCTGTTGTTACTCACTGTGCTCCATAGGGGCAACAGAGCTTTCATCAGTGACTTTTACATGACCCTTATAAACATTTTCTCTCAAGAATTTTTGGGGAAGTCAAAGAATTGGCTTTGGGGCCTGATTCATCTTGGTTTGAAATCCCAGTTTGCCTCTTACTAGCCATGTAACTAAAGGGCAAGGTCATTAACTTCAAGCCATGGATTCCCCATTTGTGAAATGGAATGGCAATCATAGTTGGCTCCACTGCAGGTATTTGGTGGTTAAGGGAGGGAGGGAAACTGCTTTTTCATATAATATCCTGTTTTGCTTTATAAAGTTATTACTATTTGTGTGTATTATCCGTTTTAAAATAGGATTAAAAATGTGTTTAATGCACGGTATATTGGGCTGTTGCTTCAGAGATTCTAACTGAGTTGATCTCAAGGCCAAGAATCTTCAGTTTTTATAAGCAACCCAGGGGATTCTGATACAGATAGGTAGGGGACCAAGCTTTGAGAACCATAATGTGCAGGTGTGTAGTTGAATCATTATGTTAAAAGAAACCCTCTTCTGGCCTTGTGGAAATATAATGGATGCCCATAGAAATTTTTACAATATTCCCAACTCTGCTACTTCACATTTCTCTGTGAAATGACCTCTAATGTTACAGTCGTTTTTGGGACAGTGGGTTGTCTTGCCTCTGCCGTTCAGACTCTGGTTTGTGGGAATCAGGTATACCTGTCCTACACATTCCTATGTGACCTTTTAATTTACAGGTTCTAAAATGTCACTGTTAATAATATCCAGTTATGAGAGGTATGTGCTTAGTAGATGTGACTGACTTTGGTACGAGAGTGTTTATACAAATCTGTTTTAGTTATTTTCTAGTGGACACTGCTGGCAGGGTGGTGACGAACCAGGAAGGTGTGTTCCGCAGCAATTGCATGGATTGTCTGGATAGAACCAATGTGATCCAAAGTTTGTTAGCTCGCCGTTCACTTCAGGCCCAGCTTCAGGTGCAAATTCTTTCTTTTTTTTTTTTCTTTTATTGAAGACAATATAGCAACAGAATTAAAGAGACTTCATCTTTAAAAATCAGTAACAAAAACATGCATATTGCTTCCACTCTTACTCAGCTCTTTTTGCTTCTGTGTGTTGCCATCCTTGGGTATACAGATTTTCCATAACCATGGCCAGTATATAAATGCACGATTTTTAATTTTGTCATTTTCTTCTAGCATTATGCATAGTTGTAGTTTTTAATGGCTTCCTTGTTATATAGTAATTTACCAAGTTATTTAGGTTGCTACATTTTTGACTTATAAATAATGCTATAGAGACTGTATATCTCTGTATATGTTATTATTAAGTTGAATTATTTCCCAGAAGTGGAAGTATTATTAAATAAACATATTACTTTCCAATAGGATAATACTAATTTACACTGACATCAGCTGTCAGCGTTAGATTTCATTGAACTCTTGCCAACGTTAGATTTCTATTTATATTTTAGTAGTACAAAGCAATAGTACCTCAAGGTGGTTTTTATTTGCATCTCTTATTACTGTCAAGGGATATTCACTCCCACATAAAAAGTTTTCGGCATAGCTTGGCTTTACCACTAAGATTGTATTGTTGAGAAAAATAGGTATAAATATTTTCCATTCTTTCTATTTGGAATTAAAAATATGTAGAGCCCGGATTTTCGAACCACCATGGCATTTGTTGTGAGTGGCAAACAAAATGTATCCCAAATGGTTTCCTGCCTACACAATTAGTAAGCATTCAACTTTATTTATGACAATTTCATGATACTTAGGAGGGAATGATGGTAAAATACTCATTTAGAATGAATTGTTCTTGAACCCTAAAGTGAAAATATCCTCTGACACCACAGGAGTGATTTCCCTGTTTGAGTTGTCTTCGTTTTGGGTGTTATATTAAGTCCTTATTGACCTGTTGGGTATACTTCAGAGCATCTGTTCCAGTAGAAACAATGCTAGGAATGGTTTGGTTCCAAAGCTGATTAACAAAAACCCACTCAACTAGATTTTAGAATCTGTATTTAATTATTTTACACGTTAGATGTAGCACTATAAAACCTAGCCAGCCCCAGAGTCTGTGGACAGGAACCTCCCTGGCAGCATTGCCAGCTGGTGTGACGACTCTACAGTTATGCCTCTCTCCCTCCAGTGAGGGCAGAGTTTTTTCCCACCTAGAAGTCATGGAGGTAGCTCCTGTGCTATGTCTAAGGACGAGAACAAGGACCAATTCTGAGATAAACTGAGATGTTGTCTATGGTGAGCAGTGAAGATGGTGGTTCTGAGAGTTGAGGGTCAGATAAATGCAGACAGGGGCTCCTGATCTGTGATTGGTGAGCCTTGAAGGATGTCCATAGAGAGGCTTCAGGGGACCCGCGACTCCCCAAGAGTATAGGCAAGGGCTGTTTGTATGTGCAGTTAGTGGGGTGGTATATATGTAACATGATCAGATTGTCAAGGGGCCCCTGGGAGAGGGTACAATTGGGGATGACTGGGGTGAGCTAATCTGGGGATGGTGAGTTGTGTGGAGGAAGGCGGCAGGGCAAAAGGTGGTGGACAGTTGGGCGACAGGAGGGAAGGAAGAAGTGGTCAGATCCCGCAGCAGCTCTCCCTCTCTTCTTTTCCCTTCTGCCCCTCTCCCTGAGAACAGACAGGCCTGTGGTGGTGGGGCTGTAGGGAGGTTAGGGGGCTTCAGAGGAGAGAAGCCCTCAGGAGAGGACTGTGTGAGCTGGGAGCCCCTGTATCCACGGGGTGCATCTCAGGCAGCTTATGATTTATGGACTATCTGCTTTTTCTTCCTGAATCATATCTGCAGAAATCCATTATACATACTGATGGGTATGGTTCTTATTCCAGAGACTAGGAGTTTTGCATGTGGGACAGAAGCTTGAAGAACAAGATGAATTTGAGAAGATTTACAAAAATGGTAGGTAATTTCTTTAATAGAGGTAAAGGTACTTAAATTTTGATATAAAGGAACATTTTGGATTTAGGACTTTGGTTATCCCTTTAGTCATTATCAGCTGTTTTTGTTTGTTTGTTTTTACCTGTTTTCACAGCCTGGGCTGACAATGCAAATGCTTGTGCCAAACAGTATGCGGGAACTGGTGCCTTGAAGACTGACTTCACCAGGCAAGCCACACATTTGAAACTGCATACCAGATCAGTGCTTCACGGTCCTGGTGCATATTAGAATCACCTGGATCACCTGGGCAGCTTTCACACAATAGCAGCAAAACACCAGCATCTGGGCCTCACTTCAGACCAGTCAAGTCAGGATTGCTTGGGGTGGGGTGTTCCTGATTCTCACGCACAGTGAGAGTCTAGAACTAGGCTCTTCATTGCTTCTGAAACCTTATTGTGCCCCTGAATCACTGGTTTGGGGGCAAGGGGTAGGGTGGGGATGTCTTGTTGAAATGTAGTGTCTGAATCAGCACGTCTAGGGCAGGCCCTGAGATTCTGCAAGTCGAAAAGCAGCCAGGTGACACTGATGCTTTCAGTACCACACTGTGGGTAGTGAGGAGCTAGGCTATTTTGAACTTGTGATATATGCAGATGGGTCTTATCTGTTACATGGATTCCCTGGGAGCAAAACAAGATTTCTAGGTTTGTTTTGTTTCTGTTTTTGCTGTTTCATACCACTTACTATTTTCTCCTATTTCTTAGTTTTGCCATGGGAACAGTGTCTTTCCCCTTTGTGTCCTATTTTGATCACATTTTCGAAAGAGAGTATTTCTTGGATCTGCTAGAGATTTCTTTCGTGAAGTTTTTGCTTAAATTTGTAGGGATGATTTTTTAAATCTCTGTAACTCAGTTATCCCTATACCCCATACTTGCCATAAAACTGTGGGAGAATGTAACATGTAAATCCATAACTCAGAAATTAACCTCTTTGAACCAGAACTGGGAAAAGAACTCAGCTGGGACTTCTGATGGATGGCTGGAACTCACTAGTACGGTATTACAAGAACAACTTTTCTGATGGATTTAGACAAGTAAGTTTGTATTTGGTGCCTTTTTGGTCACTAGGGGGTTGTGCCTTTGCAGTGTTCCTCAGTAATAATATAATAACATAATTTCCTTCTTTCTGTTCTAGGATGCCATAGACTTATTTCTTGGGAACTATTCAGTAGATGAATTAGAATTTCATAGTCCTTTAAGTGTTCCAAAGGATTGGAAATTCCTGGCTGTAAGAAACTTCATGCTTTTCAAGATGTTTAAAAAAAGCATTATGTCTGCACACGGCACTACAGATGGTGCCAACTTCCATTGATTTAAAACGTTATACGTTGTTCTAAATGGAGTATAATTGCTTAGGTTTCCCCAAACAGAAGGGAGAGGAGTAAAATAACTTTGGGTATTTGCTTTCTTTTCCCACTGCCACACATCTTTTTTGCATGAGATACAAGGGAATGTAGATTTCTCATTTCAGGAAGCGTTCAATCCTTTTAAGGTTTAGTGATTGCTGGAGGCAAACTTGTAACATGTAAGACAAAGTATGCTTTGGACACATCTCTCCTTATTGAGTCCTCTGGTCACTAGCCTTTGCAAGGCAAAGTGCCTGGAGGGGAAGGAGAGTCCTGGTATCTGGGTTCTCATCTGGACAGTCTCCTTCTGAGCACTCATTGGTTTGTAGCAACAGCATTCTTCCTCCAATCTTATAGCTTAACCCATCAAAATACTTTGGGATTGTGGTTAAGTCCCTGTATAATGGCATTTTGTTGAAAAGTTGTTGGGGCTCATTGAGTTGGCTCTGACTCATAGTGACCTCTTAAGTATAACAGAAGGGAACATTGCCCAGTCCTGCACCATCCTCACAATCACTGCCCATCATCACAGGCAAGGAAGGTATTCTTTATATTAGATGGCAGAAATAATTGTTCTTTTTCAAGCAAAGTGTGTGCAGCTGATTTTGCAGCCATTGATTAGCATTCTGAAATAATGGTTTTTCTTTTTCCATTTCCTTTTCCAGTTGCCTATCATCATGGTTGTTGCCTTTTCAATGTGCATTATCTGTTTGCTTATGGCTGGTAAGTCTGCTCTATTTCACATTCTCTCATTTATTTCTTAGAATGTTGAACTTTCCTGTATAACACCTTGAGTTTTTTAGTTCATTCAACATTTGATGTTTCCCTATTAAATTTAATGAGTAAAGTGAGTAGATGAGATTGGTCTTTAGAAGTGGCAGGAGAAAAAATATATACTCAGTAGTTTGATAAATGGCATTTCTTTTTACTTAAGATTTTAGAAATATTTTTTCTGACTACTAAAATACCAAAACCAAACTCATTGCTGTCAGTGGATTCTGACTCATAGTGACCCTATTGGACCGAGTAGAGCTGCCCATTGAGTTCCCAATCCTGTTAGTCTTTACAGAAGCAGACCACCTCCTCTTTCTCCTGTGGAGCAGCTGGTGGGCTTGAACCACCAACCTTTTGGTTAGCAGCCATGCTTTAACCATTGTACCACTAGAACTCCTTATTACCAAAATAACACATAGTAATTATAGAAAACACAGGCAAAAAGATTCACCATTCTGCTTTCCAGAGATAAGCTAACTATTCTTAACAATTTGATGTTTTAATCTTTATAAGTGTGTTTTTTCAAAAGTCAGATTATATTATACATACTTTTTAAAATAATCTTTTTGCACTGAGCAATATAAACATTTTCCACATAATTACACATTCTTCCACATTTTTAAGGACTAAGTAGTATCCCCCACTGTTGATTTGTCAAATTATCATGCTGTGGTGGCTTGTGTGTTGCCGTGATGCTGGAAGCTATGCCACAGGTATTTCAGAATACCAGCAGGGTCACCCATGGTGGACAGGTTTCAGTGGAGTTTCCAGACTAAGACAGACTAGGAAAAAGGGCATGGTGGTCTACTTCTGAAAAAATTGTCCACATGGGAATACCAGTAGAACATTTTCTGACATAATGCCAAATGATGATCCCCTCAGGATGGAAGGCACCCCAAATACGACTAGGGAAGAACTGCCTCCTTAAAAATAGAGTTGACCTTAATGATGTAGATGGAGTAAAGCTTTCAGGACCTTCATTTGCGGATGTGTAAGTTCATGAGAGCCAAATATGACTTTGATTATATCCTACCTGAATTTAGAGACCATCCCCAGAATAGATTTGACACATTGAACACCAGTGAGTTGTGGGATGACATCAAGGATATCATACATGAAGAAAGCAGAAGGGCACTAAAAACACAGGGAAGAAAGGAAAGACCAAATGAATATTAGAGACCCTGAAACTTGCTTTTGAAGGAAAAATAGCTAAAGGGAATGGAAGAAATGATGAAGTAAAAGAGCTGAAAAGATTTCAAAGGATGACTCCAGAAGACAAAGTGAAGTGTTTTTTTAATAATGAAATGTACAATGATTTGGAGTTAGAAAATCAAGCATTTCTCAAGCTGAAAGGACTGAAGTAAAAATTCAAGGATTCTATGGGCAAAATACTGAACAGTGCAAGAGGAAATAGAGTCACTGTACCTAAAAGAGGAGCTCCGGTGGCGTAGTGCCTAAGACACATGACTGCTATCTAGAAGGCTGGCAGTTCAAACCCACCAGCCACTCCTTGGAAGTGGCGATCTACTTCCACAGAGAAACCGCCTCGGAAACCCAAGGAGAGGTTGCTATGAGTTGGAACTAACTCCATGGCAGTTGAGTTTGGGTTTTTTTGGTTTATTGTGGTTTTTAAGAACACTGATGGTACAATGGTTATGTACTGGCCGCTCACCAAAAGTTTAGCTTTTTGAACCCCCCGCTGCTCCTCAGGAGAAAGATGAGGCAGCCTGCTTCTGTAAAGAGTATAGTCTTGGAAACCCTATGGGGCGGTTCTACTTTGTACTGTCATGTTGCTGTAAGTCAGATTCAACTCAGTGGCAACGGGTTTAGTTTGATTTGGTTTTGATTGTGTTTTTTAAGAGACTGGAAAGCAAATGCAGACTGGTCTCCAAAGGCTTGTTAGGAAAGTAGACACCTGGTGTCCTTCCCCTGGTGCTCTTACTGCCTGTTGGGCTCTGCGTGTTTCCCCGTCTGCTGGTGATAGTAGTACTGGTGCAGGGGAGAAGCGATACTGGGCTCTAGCCAGGGAACTGAAACAAAATAGACTGTCCCCCACTGGCCTGGTAATTTTTTTTTTTTTTTTTTTTAATGTTGCTAACATTCTTGAATCCCAGATTTGAAAAATGCCTGTCAGTGCAGTTGTGTTAAATACATTATTCAGTATATTACTGGGTTTTGTTTTATATATTTGACTGTATTTTGTAAGTTTCTAAGGAGCTCTGGTAGCATAATGCCCAAGGCATTTGACTGCTAACCAGAAGGTTTGCGGTTCAAATCAACCAGCCACTCTGCAAAAGGAAAACTGGGCAATCTACTTCTGTAAAGATTTACTGCCTCGGAAACTCAACGGGGGTCACTATGAGTTGGAATTAACTTGACAGCAGTGGGTTTGGTTTGGGTTTATGTAAGTTTCTGAAGCATGTATATTTTGTAAAGTGTATTTCTGTGTAGGTATTTTGATAAAAAAACAAAACCAAACCCACTGCCATAGAGTCGTATCGGACTCACAGCAGATACACACACAGTGACCCCACCTTGGATTTCCAAGGCAGTATCACTACAGAAGTAGATTGCCCAACCGTCCTTCCGAGAGTGGCTGGTGGGTTTGAACTGCCAACCTTCTGGTTAGCAGTCAGATGCCTTAGGCATTATGCTACAGAGCTCCTAGGTATTTTGATAGTATCTAATATTTGTGAATAGAACTATGACTTAAATTATTCATCGTTTCTTGTAATATTAAAATTTGTATTCTAAAAGTGATAATTATTTGTGTGATAAGATATGAAATAGTTCACACCAGTGGTTCTCATAGTGTGGCTTCTGGACTAGCATCATCAGTCTCACCTGGGAACTTGTTAGAAATGTATATTCTTGGGCCCCACCCCATCTGATCAGAAACTCTGGGGTGGGGCCCAGCACCTGCACTTTAACAAGCCCTCTTGGGAATTCTGATGTGAGCCACAGAGTGCTGGTTTAAACCTCAAGGGGTGTCCTTTTATCTTTCCCGTGGATGTGCTAATAAGCTTTAATATTGTCGAGATGTATGTAATAGCTGAAAGCTGGATCTGGTAACAACAAAAAGACCTTCAATTGTTTAACAACTGTTTCATTCTCCACAGGCGACACATGGACAGAAACACTGGCCTATGTGCTTTTCTGGGCAGTTGCAAGCATAGGAACATTTTTTATTATCCTTTACAATGGCAAAGATTTTGTTGATGCTCCCAGATTGGTCCAGAAAGAAAAGATAGACTGAATTTGTGTCTGTGGAAAGCGGCTTGGCTTGGAAGATTCCATTATGCAGAACTGGAGTCTTTACTGACCTGCTTTCCACATCGGCCCGAGGTCTTAAAGAAAGCCTTTATCAAACAGCACGTCTGTGCTCTGTGCGGTGGTGACGACTTCGCGTTGATCTGATGTTCCTGCCTTGATAATCTCTCTATGATTGGGATGGTTATATTTATAATTTGGAGCTACTCTCTAATTAAAATGTAACTTTAATTCAGCTCACCAGAATGGGAGAAATCTCTTCATTGTGAATCTAATCAACTGTTACAGAATAGGTAATATATTAAAAAATATCTAGCTCCTTTCATTATTTAAAACAGTAAAATTATTTTTCTAGCTCAGTTTCATCATTGTCATTGTTGAAGCAGTCGCTTGTTAGCAAGCATACTTTTCCACACATCTTTGGACTTTAAAGTGTAATCATAAGCCAACTCTGCTATGTTTATAAAATGTAAGTCTTACATGTGTTGAGTTTGACAAAACAGTCTGTGACTTCATGGTAGGAAGAGAAGAATGAGGTCTGGTCTTGAGAAGTTTGAGCTGGGTTGCCTCATGAGTTCAGTCAGCTTGAACTGCTGCAGTTGGACCAGCAGTTTTAAGTGTGATGAAAAAGTGCATATATACTTTATCTTTTTTAAAAGGTGTACATGCTATCAAAGAATGTAAAGTCTGTCTCTTATGCTAAAGGTCCAAAGCCGCCTCTGTTTTAAGGCTCACCCAGTGTGGAAAAGACCCCAGCTGATCAGCTGCTTCCTTCTGCACATTCCAGTTTATTTGGGGCCACTCTTCGAGACTTGCGGGCATCCGGGAGGGTCTCGTCTAGAATGGTGTTGCACTTGGGGCAGCAGCTACTTTTCCACGCATGGTACTATTGATGCTTTTCATTCTATGAGTGTGTCTCAAATTCAGTGCTTCCAAGGTAGTTACAGTTCTCCTAATCAAGGACCAACTTAAAATTTAATTTATGTGCGAAAATAAATCTGAAAATGTGCTTTAGAAGCTGTGCATAGGTCTAATTGTAAGTTGGATTGTATATGCAAATTGTAATTATGAGGTTTAAATATTAGAAAAGTATGTAAGGTAGTGTAATTGCCGTTATTTTAAGACAATTCATTTAAACCCTGCTACGGTCTTTCATTGTTGGGCTTGAAGACATGTACGGTGCTTTCCAATAGTAATACCTTATGTTTTCCTTAAATTTTTCTCAAAGCACCTTTATTTCAGCATTGCCTTTTTTCAGCATTCTCTTTTATATACATTGCTTTTAGAAACTAAAGGAAATCCTAGCTGGAAATCCTCTGTAACTTAAAATCAGTCAGTAAGACTTGCAATAAGTGAGAAAATAGAGCTACCTATGCCTAATGTGTAAATAAGTGTAATTTGTTCCAAAGATACCTGGACTATTGAAACTTTGTTCATAGCTATTGTATACATTACTCAAGTACTACTGGGCATTTCACATTAAGAACTTACTTCAGCAACGACAAAGACCAAATCTGAACTGCTAATGTAGCTGCTTTGCAGTGAATGGACTAATAATGTTGGTGTGTTAGATCTTAGGGTATCAATATTTCAGAACCCTGCAATGATTTTGTTTCTAAATTCATGTACTGTACCTCCATAAGTGAAAATAAATGTCATATTCTTTTCTAACTACTGCTGGCATTATTTTATCTTAAAAGATGTTGGTGTTCTTTTATCTTAGACTTTTGAAAAGTATGCAAAGTAATCCATAAGCATTATAGAAAAATCAGTAAGCAAGGAAGTAGCCTCTGAAATCCCATTTGACAGCTGTAATCACTTAAAGAGTTGTGTCAATCCTGGTAGTAGGTTTTCTTTTCTTTTTTTTTTTTAAAGGTAAAACCAGAGAAATACCTAGTTGAGGTGTAGGGGCTATAAAAATGTCTCCCCCTTCTCCATGTCATAATTTGTTTTTCAAAAATGATATAGGTCCTAACTGATATATGGGGAAAATACTGCTTCACTAGCAAATGTTCTCTCTAGGTTGCGGGAAGGTGTTAGTAAGGTGAGGGAAATGATGATTGAAATACACCTTGGCAGCTGAGAAGGCCTTTGTACACGTGTGAAATGAAATGGATACTGTGGTGGTGAAGTTTGTGTGTCAACTTGGCTAGTCCTGGTTAACTAGCTGGGCAGCTGAATGTAGTATTCCCCATGATGAGACTGGTAATCAACTCCATGATGGGGTCTACTGGGAGCAGCTGAGTAGCTGCTTTGGGTATGTGATCTGCTTCCTGTATATAAGAAACAGCTTTGGGAATGGTTTCTAGCTTATGGCACACTTGGACCCTGCATGTAGTCATGTCGTTGTTCAGCAGCCTGCCATGCTCTGCTGACGTTGGGACTTTTAGTGGACTTGAATTAATGGCCTGCTGTGTGGTTTGGTAACATCAGGACTATGCCATTTTATTTGTCGACCTTGGGCTTGTCAGCCTCAGCAGCCAATAGCTGCCTGAGTGAAGAGATGCCTCTAGCTTCAGTGGGCCAGGAGCAAGAGGCAGAGCTGAAGCCCAAGGTCGAGGGGCTTTCACGTAGCCCCTAGAGCCTGGCACTTTGAACTCGGACTTCTAGCCTCCTGAACTGTAAGAGAATAAACTCCTGTTTGTTAAGGCCATCCCATTTGTGGTATATTCCTGTCAGAGTGACACTAGGTAACCAGAACAGATACTATACCTGTGTGTTCCTCCTCATGAGCCGTACAAAACCAGCTTGGACTGCATGGTGCTCGTCTCCCCACACAGGCAAGCAAAGATCAGCTGGCCCAGAGTCCTCCTGGAAAAGGGGTTTTTGGTAATTCCACCCCTAACCTCCTTGACCTGTTTTTCCCTCTAATGTCCTGTGCCTGGCACTTTCTAATCGCTTTCTTTTCATGGGGGAAAAAGTAACCTGCTTGCTGATTGACTGATGACCTCCTTGACCTGTTTTTCCCTCTAATGTCCTGTGCCTGGCACTTTCTAATCGCTTTCTTTTCATGGGGGAAAAAGTGACCTGCTTGCTGATTGACTGATGACACTTTAATATGAATGAGATGGAGTCATTGTATTACCTTAGTCATCCATTTGTGCTCTAAGTCTTTTATCTGTAGCTACAAAATGAAAGGCTTTGTCCCATTGAGGATTCAGTGAGAGGAGGGCCAAGGGAGGCTGGTGATGAGAAGATTCCCAGAGTCAGTGGATGCAGAATGTCAGTCCTGATGCGATAGGATTTACTTTTGTTTCAGGGTTAGGGTTGGCTGAATGTGGCAAATCCAAAGCCCAAATGAAAGAGGGAAAAAAAATTTGGAGTATATGGAGGGGGCAGGGAAGGCTGTTGTTGGGGAAAATGGCTTAAAGAAGTTAGATATGTTTTTCTGTGTCTTGTCTAAGAGTCCCGAGGTGTGGCCTAGGATGGTGCATACCTGCAAGCCTGATATGGCCACTCCAGAATGTGATCAGTGCCCCACATTGCTTCTGCTCTTCTCCGCCATCATCCATCTCTACCCTGTGCCTTCCATCCTCTTGGTTCAAGATAGCTGCATATCCGGCATCCAGACAGAGGAGCAAAAGGTACCTGCTGGCTGATCAAGCCATCATGAAGAGAAATGCTTATATCTCCTTGATTTATCCCTGTCTTCAAGGGAAGCTGCCATCTTTTTTGTTTGTTTAGTCGGGCACGTTGTCAGTATGTTGTTGTTATTTGCCATCGAGTTGGCCCCGACTCATAGCGACCCTTCCTTGGGTTTCTGAGGCAGTATCACTACAGAAGTAGGATTGCCCAACCTTCCAGTTGTCAGTATAGGGGATCTTTTAGGAGGAGGAGAATGGATACTGGGTAGGCAGTCAGCTCTCCACTGCATTTTTCCCCTAGTGACTTAATGTGGAAATACGGGGCAAGCCAGCAATGAGGGGTGTCCCTGCTCAACTTTCCAGACACGGATTTCCTTTGGTAAAGCCGAAGGTGAAGGCCTTTATTTTGGCCTCATTCGTGACCTTGGAGGCTCTTTGTGCTACTGTTTCCCTTCTTCCCTTGTCTGAGTATAGACCAAGCCCCCTTACCTCTTGTGTCCCAGGGTCCTCAAATCTTTATGTTGCACAGAGTTTTTGGTGGTATTAAAACCCCTGCCCACCACTCGTCTGTCAGTTTGTGCTACTGTGGTGGCTTGTGTGTTGCTGTGATGCTGGAAGCTATGCCACCAGTATTTCAAATCCCAGCAGGGTGGGCAGGTTTCACCAGAGCTTCAAGACTAAGGCCAGGAAGAAGGACATGGCCAGGTCTACTTCTGATAAAAAAAAGAAAATTGGGCTGCTGAAAACCTTTTGAAGAACAGGGAAACATTGCCTGATATGATCATGGAAGAGCCTCTCCAGGCACTCAAAATATGACTGGGAAAGAGTTGCCCCCTCAAAAATAGATGTGGATGGAGTAAAGCTTTTGGGACCTTCATTTGCTGATGGGGTACGACTCAAAATGAGACAGCAGGAATGCTTCTTAGAAGTGCAAAGGGCCAGACTTGGTCTCTGGTACTTCAGTCATATTGTCAGAAGGGACCAATCTCTGGAGAAGGATATCATGCTGGGTAAAGTAGAGAATCAGTGAAAAAGGAGAAGACGCTCAACGAGATGGATTGACACAGTGGTTGCGATGATGGGCTCAAGCATAACAGGGATTGTGAGGATGGCACGGGACCAGGCAGTGTTTCCTTCTGTTGTACATGGGGTCTCCGTGAGTCAGAGCCAACTCGACAGCACCTACCACCACCACCAGTAACAACAGCAAAATGCCTACTGTCCCCCACACACTGTATGCTTAAATCTTTATCCTCATTGAATTGGTAGAGTGTTGACTACATTTTGTTTGTCAGGAAAATGATCTTGCTTTTCCCTGCAGCAAAATGAGCTGTTTCCACATGTTTATTGTACAATTCAATACTTTTTTAGCATCATTTCTTATTCTTTTTTTTTTTTTAATTTATTTTTATTTGGGTGAAGATTTACAGAGCAAATTCACTTTCCATACAGCAGTCCACATATACTTTGTCTCATGTCATTGACCACAGTTTAC